TCTTCACAAAAAGCAGTAAATTCCAGTGTCCACTCCACCCTTAGTTGTGAACTAGCGTTAGGAAAGTTTCTTGCCGCCTTTAACAATGTTTCTTAAACATTTTTAACGTTACAACAAGGGGCCTAGGTTTTGTAATAATGGTTTGAATTGTTTATTAGTTTTCATAACCTTTTTGCTAAGGTTACATCTTTTTATTTATTACTGATTTAATTAAGTTGTGTTTTAATTAACGTCGATGTCTGTAGGTCATGCTATAGAATCGAATAATAGGGCAATTAGTGGACAGTGAATTGGAAAGGAATGGGAACTAAGTGGTCGTAACCTGATTTAGACACTGTCTCAGCACCGACTAGAAGATACTGTGGAAATCCTCGTAAGGTTAGCCAGTCTCCTGGACGACATTTCAGAGTCGCTTCTTATTATTTGTATTCAAAAATTGATCCGGGAACAAAGAGAGCTATCACGAATGAGCATAATATGAAACAACGTCAATCGGGGATATCGGAGTTCGCATTAGTATTATTATTTTTTCTATTGTTGTTGTTGTTATTTACTGGGAACTGAAAATGAACCTGCATTCTTTATGAATGTTAAATTTGATCATGAGAAGAACGCAGGATAGAGACGTGGAGGGATTGGTGGGGTGAGAGAGGGAATGTACCCTATCATTATGAAAGAGCTATTAGAAGGCCTAGCTTACAACCTGGACCACAGCGTCCTCAATCTTTCTCAGCCATCTCGTATCTCGTCAGGCCACCGCCACGGTTGACTGCCAGTGTTCCAGGAGGACAAGCATGGGTTGCTGCTACCAGAGTAGCTACAGGCATAATACGTGGTAACCATTATCTATTTTATAAACTGAGATACATTTTTTTACGCGCGTCTCGGATTCAGTAGCTGTGACTAATGTTAGATTCAGGGAGTTTGTAATCGAACCTGTCCAACTTGAAACGTTGCCTTACTGTTTAGTAAATGTCCGATGTTTGAGTGAAATAAGGATTCAATTAAGTTACGTCTTACGTATAAAACGAACGCTTACTGGGGAAGTAGGCCGACGTAACCGATCTTTTCTTGTGGAAAGAAAGAAGTTGTATGAATGAAGAATAGCACATACCACTTCTTTCTTTCCTTCATTTGTCTTTGCATTTTCTCATCTCTCATGCATCTTTCCTTACACTTCTTCCTTCTGCCTTTCATTCTGTCCCCTTACATTTTTAGTTTAAATTCTCCTTCTTTGAACATCAAACAATTTCTGCTTCAATTAAAACAACAATTTTTCATGTTAAAAAATTTAACTGTAGTTTTACTTGAAACATGACGCTAATTTATTTAAAATTCATAATTACGGTATAACCAAAGTTTAAATTACGACACTCTTTATTCAAATGCAGTTTTTGAAAAATGAACTTGTCTCCTGAATCCGTTGTAACGCAGCGCTGCACACGATTACCAAGTGACAGTATCAATATTTGTAATTAAAATGGTAATAGCAGACGCTGGAGCGCGTTATCGTCTCAGCAGCTTTCCCTCACGATGCGTGGTAGTGTCCTACGTGTGTTCTCTCCCGCCGGGACATTACTCATTCTTGATTTACCACGCTCAGGCTAACAACCAACGCGATTTATCGTTCACTTCTGCATTCATAGCTCGCTGCTGCAGCCTCGCTACTCCTATACGTAACCATGCGTATGTTCCATATATATAAAAGCTTTTTCCTGTAAACTTGAAAATACTCTGTGGCTCCTGCTCTCGGTCTAATCTCCGGGTTCTTCAAAAGTTCCTTCGCATCTTCAGGAGGTTTAAGTGTACGTGTTCGATGCCTGATGTATGCAAGAATTTGAACCCACAACATTTCTGTCACACGCTGTAATGCTATTTCCACGTTATTATTGACCCCCGTTAAACCTTCTTGATATGGAAGGAATGTGAGATGAGGATGGTCTGGTAGACGTTTTCCGACGTTTTTAGAGGTGCTCGCTGTCCTCTGCAAATTTGGATCAAGTAACACATTATGACCAATGGTCGAGAGAGTTATGACAGCGGTAATGTGACTTTCAAACTGGAGGTATCACCCAGTGTTTCTTGCTTGGGTTTCTCCAGATTTTCGTTCAGATTATTATCAGGGCAGTAGGCCTAGTTTAAAATAGTCCGGAATTATCTTTTATGTTTAATATACATATTTAACCCTATCATACCCCATTAAGGCTACATGCATTATAAAGCGTATCTGACAATTATTATTTAAAGACACGGTAGGAATGCAGGACATAAGCTTTATTTTACGAGGTTTGTAACATTAAAGCCCACATGACAGAACCACGTTTTATTAGGGGTGAAATGGATCTGATATCAAACTAAAACATTCAGCGGCACACATTTAATAAAAGCTTACTTCTATTTATTCATAGTTCAGTATCTCAGCTGCCAGTTTTAACACACTTCCGAAAACGCCCCACCCAACGATACCTACGTCTGAATGTTTGTTTTTTCCCAGAACAATGTTTTCAAATATTATAGGATTATAGGTTAAAACATTTCCTCTGTACATTAGCCTTTGTAAACCCTCATTAGTTGAAAGATTACAGCTAATGGGGCGATTACTAGTGACGAAAAAGTAACAAACGTAGGCTACTTGCTCTGAGTTGGGTTCGAACCCGAGATCCTGGAAACCCAAGCCACAAATCTGTTGTAAGGAAGTTCTCATCGGCCAGCAGCGCCGATAGGGCTTCGTTCCTTGTTCAAGCATCAACAGGTTGTAAGGGATCTTGCGCGGAGATAGATAACCGTCAGTCAATTTGTCACCGCGGGGTGTCGGGGCGGTCTCCGACGTATTTCACCTTTCCACCAAGGACGGAATTATGTTCACTGGCCGAACAAAGAATCTTGTCATGAACGCTACGAGGAGGGTGTAATCTTTCAATCCAAAATAAATTCTGCTAGGACTTGTCGATGCTGGTGTTCGGAGTCGTAACCCCTGGGACTTACTAGACAGATGTCAAAGTTTCGGAGAAACATTCTGCCTCTATCTTCAGGGCTAAAGAATAAATATAAAGATAAATGAAAGGAATATATAAGATCGGGGATGAAAATACGAAATAAATAATTTACTCCAATCCACCTGTTTAGTCATTTTACAAAGATAGCCCTGCAAACGCTATCAGTAAACCTAAGCTCAAAACACAGGTCACTTGAGTCCAAGTGGTGTATCATTCATCTTTAGATAAATGCTTTCTAGGATTAAACACTGTAAATCAGAGCGAATTTATACGAGTGGAGCCAACGAATTATCATAAATTATTTTGTAGCCTCTAGTACATTCTTTGGATGCTGTAAAACCGGACTCTTTAGTTGGAAATAAACACCCGGCGTTCAGGAAATATTGAATCATTATGGTAATGCATTATCTTCTCTTTAGTTTGGTTTAGTTACGTACAAGTAATGCGTTCTGAGCAAGGGTGCGCAGTTTACAGTACGTGATAAAATTAGGCCGACCCACGATTATTTTAAAATATTAAACATAACGCTGTCTGCTATAAACGTGTACTTCCTTTTGCGTGATGTTTTGAAAATGTTGTAATTACGATAATTACATGCAGAAGAAATTGACTAATTAATTGATACTACTTAATAGGCCTACATCTAATCGAATAAGTGGATTAAGTAAATAAACGCTTAAAATGAAAGAACACAAAAGAAGCAAACTTATTGACTCTAATACATATATTTACCAGCGGACTACTATTTAATTTATAATTAGTACAGATGGTTACGAGAAGTCGAAAATGTCTCCACAGATCGATTCTTGCAGTCGTAACTACATCTCAACATCTTGAGGATTAGGGTTTATGGTATCATGTCTTAAATAATCATTGAAGATATTATGTTTATGTAGTGTGGCTATAGGCCCAAAGTATATTCAGCCGGTTGGAAAAATTTATTGGTTTGCTTTGTTCAGAAGACTTAAGTAAGTAATTTTTCTCGTTGAATCTCTATCGGTTGCGGTCACTTTGAAATACAGTAGCTGTGTTCAGGTGCACAGTAAAAATGATTGCCCACCCCTGGACTAGAGTAGCAACCGGTTTTTGGAGGCTTCTGTGTTGTCCTCATACAAAAGTCATATTCCTATCCACAGTGGTACATTACTTATCGCTGTCAAATTGAATGCGAAATGAAAATTTCACACAGCCGACATGCTGTTTTACAGACTACAAAAGAAATTACCTAAACAAAAATTGCATATTTTTCGAAGATATATTACCATGCAATATTTCAGCACCTTCTATAAATAAGGTGGTGCATTTGGAGTTGTCTTAACCCTTTGCAGTGCAAAGCTCATGTAATTTATATTTAAAAGTTCGTTTTTTAGCTCAGTGAAAACACAGCACGTCACCACTGCAAAGGTCAACAGGTCAGTGCTGTTTGAGGAAATAATCACTCTTTATTCTGAGAATCAAATGAAACTAATAAATACAAGCTGAAGAATTAGTGATTACTCAAGTAAGTGGTAAATATAATTACCACTTAAAGGTATTCTAGTGTTAAACTGAGTAACTTTTATCCCAAATTTGGTTAGAAATTATTCATTTAGTTCAGAAGGAGATAATGAGGGGGGAGGGGACAGAGATATAAACACTGACAGAATGGTGACGTCATAAGCCTTCTTCAGGGAAAGGAAGTAGAATAAAAATTAAGAGAAGCGAAAGGAAAAAATTGTTTGGCGATTGAACACAAGAATAAATCAGTAGGGTAAGTCCACATGAATTGATTGGATAATGACAGACTTCCGATATTTGCGTTAAATTACAAACCGGAAGAATCCATATATATAGAGCATAATAGCACAAAAGCAAGTATTATAACTTTTATACAGAAGCAAAGTCAACGAATTTTTTGTTTCGACATTTTTTCCTCCTTCAATTAAAAATCCGGCATGAACTGTAAATTGTAAATTTCAACTTCCAATAAGGATATCACTAACTCGAAAATGTCTTTTATTTCAGATATCGAGAGGAAGCCCTCTGCTGGACAGATCGGTGAGTGAACTACAGTGTTAAATTCTTACCCAACGCCTTAGCATGGTTGTACAATGTTGTGTTCCATCTGCTACTTATAATCTTCTGGAGTGGATGCCCTGTATTATTAACATTTTCTCTGAACTTAATGTGTTCTGTCGTTCTTAAACCGTTTTTCATTTGAGAGTTAACTTACACTTATTTTGATTAATGTGAAGAAAACCTTTTCGCCTACAGGTCTATGGGAATAACAGGAAAATATATTATTTTAGAATTTGTAGTGGCTCTGAAGGCTGCTGAGATTTGAGGTTTACGCAGAAATACAATCAGTCTGACACGAAAATGTTGCACACATCTCTTGTCAGGTCTATAAGTCTTTGTCAGAGTCAGAGTATGAACCCTGCGATAAGACGAAAAGTAAGCTACTCTAAATGTCTGTGTTCGTCATTCGAAAGTCAAAATAGGATGTTGTAGACAACGGTGGATGGATGCCGATTTATCCTTTAAAGAGAGACAGGACTGCAGGTCTCTGATATTACGAGGTTTTCCGTTGTAACCTGACTGTCCTTGGTCAGACACAGCACGCATTAGCAATGTTTACAACAAGGCAACACATCTCACAGCCTTGCCATTCTTTTCCGCTCCTAGAGACAATTTAATAATTTATAAACTAGAGTTTTAGTTTTCCGAAATATCTGACTTCAAGTTACTTGGTGGTATATTTCACAAAAAAATATTTGGTCTGTGTTAAGTTATCTAAGCGACTAAAAATGAGTCATTGTAGGATATAGGAGGCCTGTCGAAGTATGACTGGTTTTGCTCTAACCACATAACAATCGTTGGTACCGCGAAATTGAGTACCACTGCAGAACAACACAACAAAACTCGATCTAATAACCGCCTATTTTAAAACGAGATCAAAACTTGCGGCCTGAAAATGGCGGATCTGAAGCTGCAAGGCCAGTGGGCTCGTCTGGAAGAAAGAATTTAATGAAAAATCGTAAGAAAGTGACCTTCTCAGACATCATGATGGCAGTGAATAACTTCTTAGGTCGTTTGAATAATTCTCGTATGTCAAAATAACTGCGTCATTCCTTACCTATAATCCACCCCCTGCTATATGACCACTTTAGCCGGACTGCATGTCTTCCTACTTCGAGGCGAGGCAATAAATTCAAGTGCCCTTTTTTTTCCTCTCGTCCATACGTAAACGATCTGGCCGTATATTTGGAAAAGCGGGGCATATTCTACCAGACAGTTACTTAGCCTCGTTCAGTAAGCAAACAGATACCAGACAGCTTCTTGTTGAATGGCGAACATGAGCTTCAGGCAACATCGTAACGTATAGTCGGCGCAGAAGTTTTTGGCCGGTGGAACTGGCGGACGGGCCTAGTCTGTGTACCTGAGGCGGCGCGGTCAGCGTATTTCTTTTGTTTGGGCGTTCAGTCCGATAAGCTCCTCGGTGCAGTCAGCATTATACTATCGCAAAAGAGACTCGCTCCTAGCCTTACCCTTGAAAATTCCACCGGTTTAAAAACTACTACGCCGACTATAACAAGTACGCTTACTGCTTTCCGAGGTTCAGTAATGTTATTAATATTGATGTTTATAGACTAACAAATCAATATGTGAGGGAAAGACAAAAGCACGGGATAAATATTCCATACCGATCACAATTATTAGGAAATTTAGAAGGCACTGTCTTGAAATATTCGAAAGCTGGCATCGCGGTTTCAAATCCCAGTACGCGGGATGAGGCCCTGGCATGAGCTGATCTCCCATTCAAGGAGTTTTACCGATTGTGTGACATTCAATGAAACGGCATCGTTATCTAAGATGAAAGGAAGGAAACTACACAAAATTAAAGAGTAAAAGAGGACGGAAGAAGGAGAGTATTAATTGATGTAGTCTAAACATGACAGTTGTTGATTTAGGTTTTAGCTTCATGCAAAGTGGGGTTTATGTTTGACCGTTAAGAGCCACGATTAAATTCGGCCGACGTCTGACAGAAGTCACTCAGTACTAAATGTAAAGTAGAAGCTTGATCTCTCAATTATACGTTTATTGTATTAATTTTGTTTAATGAACCATAATACTGGAGACACTACTAATAGTTAAAACAGTTAAAATACTGATGGTTGTGGAAAAAGCTATGAATATAAGGATTAATAGCTTGTACTGAAAGATGAACCGCATATGCGAACCAAAAAAAATAATAATAAAAAAAAAATAGCTTTTTAATCCGAACTCATCCGCTGATTGAAATCGGTGGGTCGTTTATCAAACTGTTAAAATTATATTCCTGTAAAAAGCAACGTCTACACGAGATGGACCGCTAAAGTAAATTACAGTTAGCAATCTTGTAGTAGTCCCATATGATAATGAAGATTGTGGCTTGGGTAATGTAAATTATGCACCCATCTTGTTAAATACCAGGTATGGCATGTAAAACTTCCTTGCGACACATCAATCAAACGAGTCTGAGGGAAATAATTATCCCGCCGCGACTCGCTCTGTTATGGAACAACGGCTTCTGAGGAAGAAGAGAATATGTCTCCTTTACATTTTATTACGAATTGACATTAACAGGGCAAGTAAATGCAGCCTTTGAAGTGTTCAATATAATTTCAATTTTTTTGAATGAAGAATGTGATGAAATGGTGTCATTAAGGTCGATTGTGAATTGCATATTGCAAGATGAAAATAGTAGTTATGTTGTCGGGACTAAATTACGTATAGCATATTCCCTATACTCACATTAAACGAATAGTTAAATGCTGTAGGTACTTTACTACGTTTGAAAATGTCGGCATTGCTGTAGTGTGAATTACTGATGACGAGAAACTATATCTTTAGTCCCTTTTAATTTTTATGTAGACAAGATGGCTGAAAATTAAACGTGAGGAATTAAAACACATACATAATTTCATATGTAAACTGCTGTCTTTGTAAATTAGGACGCTGAGAAGATAATACAAAAAGTGTTTGGGCGAGGTAACACGAATTCAGTTAAGATGGATCACGAGGGTGTTCAGTGGTGTAATATTTTTTGTGTTATGTAATACTACGAAATGCGTTGCGCATGTAGCACGCATGTGTATATAAGAAATGAATACATCATTTTCGTTGTAAACATGAAGGGAAGATAACGCTGAAAGACGCAGACCTGAATGGGTGATAATATTAATATGGATCTTAAATAGGGTACGTATAAGCTTTTACACTTGATTGAAGTGCTTACGATAGGGTTCAGGGCTAAAGTAACAAATCCTCGGAATACGTAAATATCGGGAAATTGTATGCAGTATCGTATAAACGATAATAAAATGAGTTAGCGTGAATAGTTTTGAAATAATTATATTGAATTTTATTTGGAATCCCCTGTTTGTCTTGATTGTGTCTGTCGTTAAGTAAAACGTGTCATTGTTAATGGAATATTTCCAGAAGTCTGCTCTTTAATGTAAAAGAATATTTAGTTACGACCTTCCTCACGCAGCGCTCTGGCATAACGCAAATCTCTGAAAACAACAAGTTTCCGGAAATTGTCGAAATGAAGCCGATCTTGAACGAATGTGCGTAACTCGTGACAGAAGACACTCGTTCTGGTGAATGCAAGAGTGATAGGTGTTTAGGTCTTTGCAAGTGCTTATTTCATTTAGAATTGTGATGTGATATTATTGAAAAGTGCCATTACATTGATTGCGGCTCATAAATCAGTGAACTCTGAAGTCATATTAAAATATAAACTGAAAACCTTTTGGTGTAAAGTTAGTGTGGTTTATTGAAATGGTGTGCAGATTGCTATGTGCTGTTCAGACATGAAGTTGTTAGAGTTGGATGACGTCACAGCGACAGAAGCGGTGAGTACGAATGGCGGTAAAATGTTAGATGCCCTGACTGGAATGAAGGGACATGATGAAGTTAGCAAACCGTGTGTTGTTTGTAGTTATTTATATTTGCCGTAATGTTGTGGGTTTAATATTATGACATTCATTTAATTTATTTAAACATGTAGCGAAAGACTAATGCTACATTTTACTACTCTAACCTTATCACACACTCTAATGAGGATTTCCAGGTATTAGGAAACTACATAAATATAATCTCTTCTCGTTTTCTGACTATCTTATCTGAGTCTTACTTAGTATTTAAAGGCGAAGGCAAGTATGGTGTCCCCAGCGGGCCGGTAGCATCCAGACCTTGAATTTTGTGATGATGCAAGTATTAAACGTTCTCTACCATCAGTAAACATAACTATATTACAGTGTTAGCCACGTTAAGTTAGGTTAAATATCATGTTTTCCCCATTCATGTTGCGAAGGATTGGTGGTTGTAGGTAAGAATGCAAGGAAAAGCGTGGGAATCATTTCATGTTGTCCCACCGAGTAACACCACCTGCGTGAGGTCGCGTGTGGCTAGGACATGCAACATAGCCAGGGTGAGACAGAGATCGTTTCAAAACCAGATGTACTGCGTCACTTGTATGATAATATTGTCGCAACGCCATTTGTAACTCACAGGAGGGTAATGCTTTCAAGAGAGACAATCAAACGAACATCGTCTGAGATTCAAACCAAGAACCATTTAACTAAAGTCGGTTTTTACTTTCATATATTCAGCTCTTTGAAGTCTAGCGGTAACTGTATGCACTACCTGCTTTAGCAACCAGTAATTAGTGCATTTTTTCCCCTACAAGTGCATGTATTGGTTTTATACGTTTTTCATTCTAAACTTCGATTACTTCCTTAAACAGCATTAATCAGTTGATTTTTGTAATGGTTCTGAGTCGTGTTTTCTTGTACGTACGGGCTTCGATCAAATAGTATTGAAGTATTTTATGGAATGTAGGGACACAAAATTTCTAATTCTTTTTTCACACTGATGTATGTTGAATGGTTATCTGTATATTGACAGTTGTCTGCCTTCAGTAAATTAAAATAAAGACCTATAATTAATGCAAAATAGCGAAGAATGCATTTGGAAAATAATGAGTTTCCGTACGTACTCCTTAGAAGAATCCT